AACCAATAAGTTTCAGGTACATAATTTAACAGTAAGGCATGCATATACATACATATATATACATACATACATACATACATACATACACACACACATATATATATATATAACTATCCTTTACTTATTCGTAATGGTAACCACACACAGAAGATTCAGAAATGAAGTATATAACAGAAAACAAGAAGAACCAGAGGCAAAACAAACAAAACCCAACCAAAATAAAGAAAACAGAAACAGAAATCAAGGAACAAGGAAGCAATGTAAACACCGAGCTACCAGAAAGCAAAAGATAAAATGGCTATAAGAAAACCTCATATTTCAATAATCACCCTAAATGTAAAAGTACTAGACTCACATATAAAAAAGGTACAGAATTGCAGAATGGATCAAAGAGCAGATGGCATTCAGAGAAAATTGTAGTAGCATTACTAATATTGGACAAAATAGATTTCAAAATAAAAAAGGTAAAGAAAGATACTGAGGGACACTTTATAACGATAAAGGGAATCATGCACCAAGAAGACATAACACTTGTTAATATCTCTAAAGAGAGAAACAGACCAATACACTATGGTAGTAGGGAACCTAAATACTGCACTGTCAGATATGAACAGATCATCCAAACAGAAAATCAATGAGAAAATAATATCCTTAAATGACATTAGACCAAATGGACATAATTGGAATAAACAGAGCCTACCATTCAAACAACTGCTTCTACATTATTGTCTCCTGCACATGGAGAATGCTCAAGAATCTCAAGAATTGTCCCATACCGGGACATAGAAATAGCTTCAACAAATGTAAGAGAGTTGAAATCACACCAACCATATTCTCTGACTATAATGCTTTGAAACTAGAGATCGACTGAAACAAAACAAAACAGTAAGAACTACATATACATGGAAATTAAACAACATGCTAATGTAAATCTCATTGTAGTAGCAAGAAACTGAGGATAATCCAAACACCCATCAGCATGTTAGAAATGTAGGGTGGTATACGCACACATGGGAATGAGACTCAGTACTAAATCTGTGTAAGATGAGTCACACCAAACTATACATTTCCAATCATACTGCTGAGAGAACAAACAACTCTTAGTATGTACTATATAATTTTATTAGTATAAACACTAAATGATGAAAATTAGTGTGATGAAATAATATGAACATAGGAGCTTTCTGGTCATGAAGAGATTTGCTTTAGCAAGATAGTAACGAATGTTCACAATACATAGAAAGAAATTGAGATAATAATGACTGAAAAGGGGAGGATTCAAAGATCCAAATTCTTGAAGGGTAAAGGACACAAGAGCACAGAGACAAAATAGATGGATATCAGTGTAGGTCTGCCAAGGCAGCATTTGGGGCTGTGATATTCAAAACTAGATCAGTGATAAAAGTAGATGAAGAAAGGTTTATTTGACATGGCACATGTTTCTTCAGAAATTCAAGGTGATTCTTCTAAAGATGAAGCAACTGGTTCAGCATCCTCCATTACATCTCCGTTGTGTGATCACACATTGACTGGGGCCTTGCACTTGAGGTCTGTATCCACAGAAAGTGCTTTTCAGACTTTTTCTGCACGATCCTTGATAAGAAGACCTTGTCACACATTTTTTGTCTCTGGACCAGATGAAGATAATGATTTTCGATCTATGACGTTTCCCAGAAAACTCTGGAAAATAGTTGAAAGCGATCAGTTTCAGTCTATTTGCTGGGATGGGAATGGAACTTGTATAGTGATTAATGAAGAACTCTTTAAGAAAGAAGTTCTGGAAAGAAAGGCCCCTTTCAGAGTATTTGAAACTGCAAGTATGAAAAGTTTAGTTCGACGTCTTAACCTTTATGTATTTAGTAAAGTGCAACAGACTTTTCAAACATTTGCTTGTCTAGTTGATATTCTGGCAGCAGAGAAAGAAATCTCTGTTTTAAGCAAGGTAGTACAAAATTTAGTTACCCATTATAATTGGCTTATACACACACACACACACACACACACACACACACAAATGCCTTTTATATATATTATATAAATATGGCAGCATTTGAGGCTGTGGTATTCAAAACTAGATCAGTGACAAAAGTAGGTGAAGAAAGGTTTATTTGACATGGCACATGTTTCTTCAGAAATTCAAGGTGATTCTTCTAAAGATGAAGCAACTGGTTCAGCATCCTCCATTACATCTCCGTTGTGTGATCACACATTGACTGGGGCCTTGCACTTGAGGTCTGTATCCACAGAAAGTGCTTTTCAGACTTTTTCTGCACGATCCTTGATAAAAAGACCTTATCACACATTTTGTGTCTCTGAACCAGATGAAGATAATGAATTTTGATCTATGACGTTTCCCAGAAAACTCTGGAAAATAGTTGAAAGCGATCGGTTTCAGTCTATTTGCTGGAATGGGACTGGAACTTGTATAGTGATTAATGAAGAACTCTTTAAGAAAGAAGTTCTGGAAAGAAAAACCCCTTTCAGAGTATTTGAAACTACAAGTATGAAAAGTTTAGTTCGACAGCTTAATCTTTATGGATTTAGTAAAGTGCAACAGACTTTTCAAAGATTTGCTTCTCTAGCTGATATTCTGGCAGAAGAGAAAGAAGTCTCTGTTTTAAGCAAGGTAGTACAAAATTTAATTATCCCTTATAATAGGTTAATATATATGTGACACCTATGCAGCTAGACAAATCTTTATAAATTGAGGGGCTCAATGCACTACTAGCTTTGCTTTGGGGCAGAGACTGAGACATAAAGTTTCTCCTGGTAGAGTATTTGTGACCTCTTCAGGCAAAACTGAGTTAATGCCAGGGCCAAGCAAACCAGACTAGAATTATTCACTAGACGTAGATGCATTCTCCAGTCTCTAAAGTGAAGCAAGGTACTAGGTCTCTTTTTTAGTTTGGGATGAACTTCCATATCTCCATATGTTCAACAATGACTCTACTTATTTTTACCCTTCAATTCATTAGCCAAAGCGATGTTCCCTGTCAGTGGGGAGCTAACATATCAACTTGCTTCCTGCAACCTGGAAAGGTGTTATTAACAAGTGACACATTATTTGGGAAGAAACATTCAGTTTGAATAGTGCAAGGATCCTCACTCTCTCTTGTTCACCACTTGGGTAAGAAAATATGCTACAAGGTCCCAGAAAGTATTCTTCAATTTGTAACCTAAAATTGTCGACCACAGCCTTTCTATTATGTAAAAATGTTATTTTATTAGTATTCTTTTGGCTGTTATTAACATTGTAATATGAACTTGGTGGCTTAAACAACACAAATCTGATATATCTGAGATCTGGAGGCCAAAAGCTCAGGATTCGTTCCCTCTGAGGAGTATGAGGGAAAATCTGTTCTCTGCTCCTCTCGTAGTTTTTAGTGGTTTCCTGGCAATCTTTGGGATTCCTTGGCTTGTAGACACATCACCCTTATTGCTACCCTAATATTCATAAGGCATTTTTCCCGTGTGCATGTCTGTGTGTCCAAATTCCCCATTTTTGTAAGGACATTGCCAAATTTACAATGCGAAATTCTCTGTCACTAAAGAATAATGAAATCCTATCAGTCAAAATGACATAGGTGGATCTGAAGCTTATAACGATTAGTCAAGTATGTCAGACACAGAATGATAAATACCATAGATTTCACTTATATGTGAATCTAAGGAACAAAAAGATCAAACTAATCAAAAACAGATGCACAATTATAGAGGAGAATCTGGTTATGGCCAGAGGAGAGAGGGGTTGAAGGATTGGAAGAATAGGATGAAGGATTAAAGAAGTACAAATTGGTAGTTGATAGATAGTCATTGAGGCAGAGAGCACAGCATAGGAAATGCAATTACCAGTAATGTAATGGTGACATGTAGAGCCCAAGGAGAGAAAGAATAACTAGAAGGGTCATTCATAAACTATATAAATGTTTAACCAGTGACCTATATACCTGAAACTAATAACAAAATCACATTTAAAAAAAAGTCACTACTGGCATTTTTTACAGAACTGCAAGAAATATTCATAAAATGTGTATGAGACCATAAAAAAAATGCCACAACATTCTTGAGAAAGAACAAAGTTAATTTCTTAGTCCTTGATATCAAACTATACTAGGCTCTCCAACTTCTTGGAATTTCTAACGAAATCTACAACTATCTTAGCGATAACTTTTACACGCTACAATATTCTCTACTACAATCTCATACTTAATTTGGCTTTAGAGTATAGTTTCAAAGGAATTGTAGTGACCACATTAATTCCTGTAGAGAACCTACATAGATACATAACCAAATCCAATTATATAGTTTTTTGCAACCCAGAAACTTATTGTCCTTTAATGAGGTACTCGAAAGCAAAAGAATTAAGCCTAGTGTTTGAATCTACGGCAATAGTAGAAAATTACTGGGTGCTCTTAATGAAGGTGTTGAAATGTAACTCTGCACATACTGACTTCAAGTTTCAGTGCACATCCAGATTTATTGACTAGAGTACTGACACTAGCTCATATTGATTGAGGAAATCTAAGCCTGTTTTATTGTTCATGCGAATACAATTTGCACATCAACCTCGGCCAAGAAGTAATTAATACTTTATTGGTTTTGAAGTAAACCTGGACTATGCCATTTTCACTTGCAGCCTATGGATAATTTTCAAGACAATTTTTATTTGCATTTGTGCAAGAAACTAGAATGTGTATTTTTTTTCACTTGTTGAAAAATGTCCATTAGTTCTTAGAAAATCAAAATAAAGTAAAATTTCTTTAACTGTCATTTGTGGTGATACTAAGGTGTCGGCTGAATGCCGTTTTCCTTCATAGTTTTTATAAATAAAGCAAATGAAGAATAAGCTTAAGAAAAAGACAAAATGTCAAGAACTTTAGAAATATTTATTCATAATAAAAGTTTTATACTTATTTTATAAATCTATAGTAGGCTACAGTGGTCAAACTGCATGGTACTGGCATAAGAAGAAACTCATAATTCAATGAAACAGAACATAGATACTAAATAGAACTGTGACTAGATGCTTCTTTAATTCTGGGTAAGGGAGAGAAGAATACACAATGGAATTAAGACTGTAGTCAAAGAGCAAACTTGGAAGACTCAAACTTAAGACCTAAAAACCATGAAACTCTGAGAAGAAAAACTAGACTCTAACTCTATAACATTGCTCTTTGTACTGTTTTTTTTTTTTTTTTGGATGTCTCCTCAGGCAGGGGAAAAGTAAAATAAAAAGATAAATAAATAGACCTGAATCAGGTGAAGTTTTTGCATAGCAAAGGAATCTACCAGCAAACAAAAACACAACCTACCTAATAAAAAACTATACTCACCGATGATACAATTTCATAGAGTTTAATATTGAAAACGTATTTTGAAAACTCATACAAGTCAACAACAATGAAACAGAAAATCCAATTCAAAAACTGGCCAAAGCCCTAAATAAACATTTGTGCAAAGAGGACATACAGGTGACCAATGGATAAAAAAAAAAAGATGTTCAACATCTCTAATCATCAGAGACACTTCATTAAAACCATAGTGAGATACCACCTCACACTTGTCAGAATGGCTGTCATCAAGAAACTAACACATACGGGTTCATGAGGATGTAGAGGCAAGGGATCCCTCACGTATAGTTGCTGGTACTATAAACGTATGCAGCCACTGTGGAAAACACTGTGGAGTTTACTTAAAGAATTAAAATCAAAATTACAATATGATCTAGCAATTTTACTTTTGAGTTAATTTTTCAAGAAAATTCTTAGAAAAGATATCTGTACCACTATGTGCATGACAGCATTATTTACAATAGCCATGATATGGAAACAACTTAAGTGCCCATCAAAAGATAATTAGATAAACAAGTGCTACACATACACAATGGAATATGACTCTACCATAAAGTTGGAAATACTTCTGTTTGTGACAACATGGAGACCCAGAGGGTTGTAAGCCAGGTAAAATAAGCTACACAGAGGAAGACTACACCATGTGCTCTCACTCCTATATGGAATCTGAAAAACAAAATGCATATATAAGCAAAAGAGAAGCAAACTGGCAGGTACAGAGAACAACTGATGATCGTTGGATGAAAGGATTGGGGCCCTTGTTGAAGAAATTAGAAAGTGCAAGTTGATACTTACAAAATTGTCATGGAGATGTGAAGTACAGCATAAAGAATGTAGTCGGTAATATTGTACTAACTACGTGTGGTGTCAGGTGAGTACTATACTCATTGAGGGGCACAAAATAAATTAAATGAAATTCTAACCACTGCCTGTCCACTTGATCTAATATGAAATAATCACATTGAGTATCATCTGCTATTGAACTAAAAAAGTATGGAAGTTGGTAGTTATAAAATAGTCATCAGAAAGAAAATTACAGTATAAGGCATTTCTATTAGCTTTTGTCTGAAATTTACACTCCTCTGGCACAACTGGATAAAGACTGTTGTAACACCTCTTTAGAATATTTACACCTTTACGATTATTAATTTATCTCTGGATCTTGATAATTTGTTCTCTTAATTTTTACCTGAAATGAAAACAAACATTTTAACTTTTTAAAGTAGCTTTATTCATGACATATCTTACTCTATGTCTTCATTTTTAATCTAATGACACTGCAATTGAATTATATCAAAGCCTGTATGATTTACGCTTTTTAGTTATTATTCAAATAGTGCTATTTTCTGCAGGGTAGTTCACCTAAACATCAGAAAACTTTTAATTTGCTATGGAATCCTGCCTATTTCTTTTGGACAAGTGACATGCACAGGAAATTCCAGTTACCCTCAGAAGTAAAATTCCCTGTATAAAACTATGATAGTTTATACTTAATAGATGTTTTTGTCATAATTTGGGTGTTTACTATAAACGTTTCTTTAATACATTGATTATAGCAATTCAGTTATAGAGTGACAGAAACAAGGTTATGTTGTTCGGTAGTAAAATTTTTTAGCGTATGTAGATTAACCTGGAATTGAACTCTTTGGGGGCATAATTTTTAAAATTCTATTTTAATATGTAATCTCTATTCACATGCAACATAAATACACACACACATCGAGACAGCTTAATTTCGGCCCCTA